TATTGCTTCAACAGCCTGGATATAGAAGGAGGAGACACTTCATGGAACTCCAGCATCTACCACAATAAACATGTAGCCTGAGCAAGAAATAAATCTATATTATAAAGTAACCTGGGTCTGGAGGTTATTTGCTCTTTATGTAGCTCAGCTTATCCTTTCTCATACACTCAGGCACTTTACTATCTCTAGTGATTCTAGGTGCTATATATTGTTTAACACACACAAATCTATCCTCACATTAATCCTTTTCTCAGAAAAGGGTGATCTGGTAAATATTTGGAGTTAGACTTCACTGTGTAAAGTTTCTGGAAAAACCAAGACAAATCCTTATATTTAATCATTTATACACTATAATCTGGAGGGAAAGCTTTGAAAAAGAGTGACCCTATTTCTAGAAAGGTTATTTTTAAATGTTTGGACAGTCCTAAGGAAAGTATCAAGTAACTTACTCAGAGGAAAATTAAAGGAAGTCTCTACTTAAATCAGTTTGAAGAAATATAATAAATTTGAATGTCTATCAAATTGTTACAGATATGCTTGACTTCTTGTAATAAATGTAAGCAAAGTCCAATTTCTTCTGACTCACTGATGTTCAAAGAGTTAACACATCCTGCCCTCTCCCTTTCATACTGTGTATACCCAACCTGTACAAAACACTAGCATTCCGGTCTCTTTCACCTATTACCGATTAGGAAATATTTTTCATCATTCAGAGGAACATTCAGCATCTTAAAAATAGAGCCATACCCATCAATAGAATTAAACCTTCTTGAAATATATGAAGTACTCTAGCACCTTCTAAGTATAAATACCTTCTTTTGTGACAAAGTTCCTTTTTGGATATTTCTCATCTGATACTGTCCATCAACATATCGAGAAATAAATTTTGTTTCTTTTTTGCATCCCTTACAGACAACTGTAGTCTAGACTTAGAGCGAGCATAGGTTGCCTTACAAGTGTTAACTTCATTATACAGAAAAAACACAAGAAAGATGAAAAACTAAATTTAAATCTATCCCATTCCCCTCAAAGCATGCAGAATTTATAGTTAAGAGAGCAAGGATCCAAATCTAAATTTTATCTCTGCCACTTAGTGTGTTTCTGAGCAGGTTGCTTATCTTCTTACTGCCTTAGTATCCTCTTTTGCAAAATGTGTTCAATAACAAATTCACTCAGTTCATAATATTGTGAGAATGAAAATGTGATAATATATGTGAAGCATTAAGAGTAGTCCCTTTGTTGAAATAAATATTAAAAATACATGTTACTACTATTTTCCTAAAAGGAAAGAATAACTGAGCCATGGATGCATTCTCAATACATATAATCGCCTGAATTATTTTGAAATAGGAATATAGAAAATGTATGCTATTTTTCACACATAAAGCTATAATTTCCTAAATATATGTCACTTGTTTCACATATAGCTAAAATTACCTTAAAAAAAAATCCTAGCATCCCTTCCTTATAATGCTAGGAGTTAAACAATACAATTTATGCAAGTTAAATTAACTATTAAACTATAAATTAAAGATTGAGACATTATTGCAAAGTCCTAATAAATAGAGTCATAAAGTGATTTTGATACATTTCATGTGCAAATTCCAGTGTGTCAGTATTTATTTCAACAAATCTTACCTGTGAATTCAGTGAATACGCACAATGGTTTAACCAAGTTTCTGTCCAATCTTCACAGCTTTTCCCCTATCATGACAATGGTGTAATCCTGACATCTAGTGGAAAATCTACATCACTGCAGGTACACTTTTTGAAAATTTATTAAAAAACCTCAAATAAAATAACAAAATCTTATTTTTACATTTGACATTTAAAATTTTAAATCTTGAAAGCGTATCTGAGAAGAATAATGATTCTGTGGTGTTACAAGGACAATTATATAAATGCATCAATAGCATGAAAAACGTGATATAAAAAGAATATGTAAAAGGCCCAACTTTGGGCAACAGTAATAAACAGTGCACACTTATTAATATAAATTCATCTCTATAAAGGGATAATAGAAATATGATGAGGAAAAATGTTTTGCAATAATTCACTGGCCATAAGTTTTAATGTTGCATCAACTGGAAATCTATTTTAACATGTTCTTGTCTTTAGACAAAAAAAATCAATTGCAATATTGCAATAATAATATAATGTTTTCAATTCAAATGACAGAAAGATGCAATATAAAATAATGTAACATATCTATATACACAAGTATAAATATACACATAATCATTTTTTAGCATAATAGTAATAAGAAACCTATTACTGTCCTTTTGTAGATACTGATCTACAAAATCTGGCCAAGCCTGGCCTCATGGCTACAACCTCTAACTTTAAGCACAATGGCTTTGCTATCACTCAAGGCTGCCTCAGTAATTTACTGCTTCTTCACATTGCAATCCTCAATGATGACCTAATATTTTCATTTGAAACATAATTATCTAAAGTATATATAGATATAAGTGATTTAGTTTTGAGCATTTTTCTCCTATATCCATCAGTAAGTAGGTAGATAGATCTTTTTTAAACAAATACTGTTAAACACTAGAAATCAAAAACACTGTTGAGAAAGGACACATTTGTGACAAAGGAAGCAAAGTGAATGCAAAAGGCAAGCCCACCCCAGAATTTGTGAGACCTGAGACCTCACAGACCTTCTAGGCTGCAGTTCACTTGTCATCTTTTTCCACTGTAGCTGTATCCTGTGCTATGAGGGAGCTAATACAATTACCTCTAAGACATTTCAGCTCACAAGTCCAAGCTCGCACCCTACCCTCCTACACACATCCCATTTCCACCCTCATGTGCAGACTTCTACAGTTTATACCAGGCATCTGGAGTCTCAGTCACCCAGAAAGTGTTAAAGCTTTGGACGGGCATATCACCTTGACCCCCAAGGATCTTTACCCTATGTGGAAGGGGAACTATATTAGGAAAGGGCAAAGTAGAATCCACTAAAGGGTCTGAGAGTAGCACCGGCATTGGTGTGGTTTAAACAGGACATTTTCTAGGTGGCTAGAGGGTGAAGAAATAGTGTGACATGATGATGTCAGAGGGTGTCCTTGTGATCAGCATTCTTCTTAGCTTGTGTATCACAGGGTCTTGTTGTAGAATAAAAATACTATATTTTCCATGGAAGTAAGGCAGACAGGTTTTAAGGGTCGCTATCCTGCTGTGCTTCTATTTGTCCTGAGAGTATCAAGTGAAAACTTAATCGTCTCTGACTTATAACAACCATGCAGACCAAGTTTCCCTTTAAAACACAGACTCTTCAATAAGTGGTGCTGGGAAAACTAGAAAGATATATGTAGAAGAATGAAATTAAAACATTCTCTAACACAACATACAAAAATAAACTCAAAATTGATTAAAGACCTATATGTAAGACCAGATACTATAAAATTCCTAGAGTAAAATAGGCAGAGTACACTTTGACATACGTTGCAGAAATATCTTTTTGCATCTGCCTCCTAGAGTAATGGAAATAAAAACAAAAATAAACAAATGGAACCTAATTAAATTTAAAAACTTTTGCACAGCCAGTGTTTTGCACAGTCAGTTGTGTCCAACTCTTTGCAACCCCATGGACTGTCCACAGAATTCTCCAGCCAAGAATACTGGGATGGGTTGCCATTCCCTTCTTCAGGGGATCTTCCCAATCCAGGGAGTGAACCTGAGCCTCCTGTATTGCAGGCAGATTCTTCCCCTGGGCCACCAGGGAAGGAAACCATACACAAATCGAGAAAGCAACCTACAGACTGCGACAAATATTTGCATATGATGATATCGACAAGGGATTATTTTCCCAAATATACAGGGAGGTGGGAGGGGGGACCAGGATGGGGAATACATGTAAATCCATGGCTAATTCATTTCAATGTATGACAAAAACCACTGCAATGATGTAAAGTAATTAGCCTCCAACTAATAAAAATAAATGGAAAATAAATAAATAAATAAATATCTGTAAAGCAAAAAAAAAAAAAACAAAGAGTTCATACGGATGGCCAAGAGGCACATAAAAAGATGCTCAATGTCACTAATTTTTAGAGAAACAAATATCAAAACCACAGTGAGATATCATCACATACTGGTCAGAATGGCCATCATTAAAAAGTCTACAAATAGTAATTGTCAGAGAAGGTGTGGAGAAAAGGAAAGCCTCCTACACTGTAGATGGGAATGTAAGCTGGTACAGCCACTATGGAAAATTGTACGGAGGTTCCTCAGAAAATTAAAACTAGAAATACCATATGAAACAGCAATTCCACTCCCGGGCATATATCCAGAGAAAATCTCAAATCAAAAAGATACATGCACGCCAATGTTCATAGCAGCACTATTTATGATAGCCAAGAAATGGAAGCAACCTAAAGTTTTCCATCGACAGATAAATGAATAAAGAAGATGTGGTGTGTGTGTTTGTATGTGTGCATACATACATGTAATAGAATATTACTCAGCCACAAAAAATTAAATAATGCCATTTGCAGCAACATGGATATACCTTGGGATTATCATGTTAAGTGAATGAAGTAAGTCAGATAGAGAGACAAATATCATATGATATCACTTATATGTATACTTTTTAAAAAATGACATAAATCAACTTATTTACAAAACAGAAAAGGACCCACAGACATAGAATACAAACTTACGGTTACCAAAGAAGAAAGTGGTACAGGGGAGTTAAGTTAAGCATTCTGGACTAACATATTCCCAATACTGTATGTAAAGTGTATAAGTAAGGATCTACTGTAGAGTACAGTAAAGTATATTCAATATGTTGTAACAATCTATAATGGAAAAAATCTGAAAAAGTGTGTGTGTGTGTGTGTGTGTGTGTGTATCTGAATCACCTTGCTATATACCTGAAACTAACATTATTTTGTAAGTTAACTATATTTCAATTTTAAAAAATGGTTTAAAAAAAGAAACACAACAAAAATATGAGGTGTCTATTCTTCAGTCTCTTTTCATTTTGCAAGAGGCATGAACATGCCAGTAATATATGGGATTATTTTATTATACACAAGCATAGATATATACTTACCATGCTGTTCATTTTTGAAGATGATGAACTTGCTCTTTGCTTCCTTAGACTATTAACTTCTTCTACATTTCCATCTTTTGGTTTCAAAATCATCCTGCTACTCCCTGCAGTCCCTTCTGATGAGGATCGCAGTCGCCTCTCTATAAATCTTCCTTCACGGTATGGACTGAGGCTACTGGCAAGAACTATTTAAACACAAATAAAAAAAAATTAATATAAATGCTTAAAAGTAGTTTTTATAAAAGTTCCACTGAAAGCAAAAGGGAAACTCTTAGTGCCATTCAATAATTCTCAATCACAGAGAACTTTCTGAATTAGTAGTGGTAGTTTACTTAATTATGTAAATCACTTTGTTGCCCCCATATTTTGGAGTCATCCTTGACTTCTTCATACCTCACATAAATCATATTAACAAGTCCTGTCCTTATCACCTTAAAATCATATACAGAATCTGATCATTTCTCACTGTCTCTCCCACTAACATGCTGGCACAAACTCCATCAGTGCTTGCCTTGCTTACTGCAACACTTCTAAACAGTCTCTGGAGTCTGCCTAGTCCTATATGCCTCTCCCTGATCAACACACAATCTATTTTCTACATGATAATCAGAATGGTACACTTAAGTGAGATTGATAACAATAATTCCTCTAGTCAGAAAGCTGGTGTGCTTCCAATGGGGCTACTGAGTTCCTCATGATATGACCCTACTCTCCTCATTGGTCACTTGTTAATCATATCTATCGTATCTATACCCTCATCTTCTACTACCCCCCACTCCTGGACCTCTCACTGTTTCTAGAACATTGCAAGCGTGCTCCAGCCTCAGATCCTTACCCCATAGCCTTTGAAACTGATATACTTTTCTCAAATGTCTCTATGGCTTACTCCCTAATTTTTTCCAGTATGTTACTTTGAGTAATACCTATTCACTATACTTAAAAATGGAAACTAAAATGAGAAACTATCAGAAAGAGAAATTAGGAAAGAAAACAATTACATCTACAATTGCATCAAAATAATAAAATACCTAGGAATAAATTTAACCCAGGAGGTGAAAAACATATACACTGAAAACTATAAAAGACACTGATGAAAGAAAATGATGAAAATAAAAATAGAGTTGTTTTATGTTCAGAAATTGGAAGAGCTGATATTTTTAAAAAGTCTGTACTACCCAAAGGGACCTATAGATTTGATGTAATTCCCTATCAAAAACCATGATGACATTTTTCACAATCCTAAAATTTGTACGGAACCACAAATGACTCCAGATAGCCAAAGCAATCTTGAGAAAGAAAAACAAAGCTGGAGGCATTACAAGTCTTGATTTCAAACTATGTTACAAAGCTATAGTAATCAAAACAGTATGGAATTGGCATAGAAACAGACAGCTTAATGAATCAGAACAGAGAGCAAAGAATTAAAGCCATTCATATATGACAACTAATTTTTGACTAACAGCCCAATCATATATAATGAGGAAAAAAAGACAGTCTCTTCAACAGAAAATGCTGGGGAAAATGGACAGTCATGTGCAAAAAAGATGAAATTGGAATCTTACACCACACACCAAAATCAATTCAAAATTTATTAATGACTTGAAAGTTAAGACCAGAAACTGCAAACCTCCTAGAAGTAAACATGGGAATAAGCTCTTTGACATTGATCTTGATAATGATGCTTTGGATTAGATATCAAAAACAAAGAAAATAAAAGCAAAAACAAACAAGTAGGAATATTTCAAACAAAAAAGTTTCTGCACAGAAAAGCAAATAATCAAGAAAAAAAGAAAAAGAAACAAAGACAACCAACTGGATGGGAGAAAATATGTGCAAATCATACATCCTGTAAGGGGTTAATAGCCAAATATACAAGAAAATCATATAACTCAATAACAACAAAAAAATAGGCAAAGAACATAAGTAAACATTTTTTTTTCCAAATAAGACATACAAATAGCCAACAGGTACATGAATAAAAGAGCTCAACATTCCTAATCATCTGTGAAATGCAAATCAAAACCACAATGAGATGTTACCTCATTTTTGTTAAGATGGCTATTATCAAAATGTCAAAAAGAGAACAAGTATTCTTGAGGAAGTGGAGAAAAGGGAACCCTTGTGCACTGTTGGTGGGAATATAAACTGGTGCAGTCACTCTGGAAAACTGTGTGGAGGTTCTTCAAGAAATTAAAATAGAGCTACCATATGAGCCAGCAACCTTACTTCTGGTAATCTACCTACAGTCAACAAAATCATTATCATAAAGAGATCTCTGTACTCCCACATCCACAGCACCATTGTGCACAAAATGACCGATACTGCATGGTGTCACTTGTATATGGAATCTTTTTTTAAGAGCTGAACTCAAAGAAACAGCAGAAAAGTGGCTATTGGGGGTTAGGAAGTGGGAGAAACAGAGAAAGACAGGCAAAAGAGTACAGACTTTCAATTATAAGATAAAGATCTGAGGATCTTAATAACTTGAGGGAGGGGATCCTTTCACAATGTACACATATATCAAAAAAATAATTTCATTCACTTTAAACACATAATTTGTCAATTATACCTCAATAAAGCTAAAAAAATGCAAACTACAATCCCACTCCCCACATCCTAATCTTTTATTCTGCTTAAACCCATCCTCAGACGTTATCACCATCTGACATTTATTTGTTTCTATGTTAATTGAGTATTCCCACTGCAAAGTAAGCTTCATGAAGGGAAGAGTTTGTTTTGTTCATTTCTATATCCTTAATGCTTAAAAACAGTACCAAAACAAATATCTGTAAATGAATGAAACTGATTTGTTCAGGCTCACCTATGGGTTTAAAGACTTTTGGCTAGGACCTATTAATCCAACATATGCTTGTTCTTTTTAGAAAATTTTTAATCTAATAAATAAAGGTTAAATTGCCAGAGAGCTAACATCTCATTCACAATTCTGATATGAATGTACACCTAACACATTCAGATATTTGTTACTTTTTTAAACATATTTCAGAATAAATACAGAATAACTCTAGTGTTATGAAATTAAGCAACTCTTTCTTCTGCAAAATATATTTGTTTAAATGTCTTTAAGAGCTTTAAAATTCCAAATTATAAAATCTTTATGAACAGTAGATGAATATCTACCATTGATGCAAATGAAAGGTAGTATGAAACCAACTTTTCCTTTTTTACATTATCAGTTTATTTGCCTATCTCTTTCTATTTTACAAGCTATAGATAATATGAATAATCATCTAATATCCAGGAACAGGTATCATAGTGTCAAATTCAGTGAAATTAATTTAATGTATTAAATGGCTTCGAATTAGGATCTCAGTCAACAGATTAATAGCCAGCAAGATAACTGTTAGTCATTACCTAGTTTCCATAAAGATATTTACTTTATTCAGTTTGACATTGAGGTATAACTCATCATTTCTAAATAAGAATTAACCAGGATAATTACACTTTTACCCTTTTGCATGTTATTTCTTTTAAGAACTGCCTACATTCCAATCTGAGGTCCACCATTTGCTAAGAGTATGATTTCATAAAGTTATTTAACTTAATCCTAAACTTTAGTTACTAAATTCCACATAAATTTTTGGTTATTATTAAATAAAACAATGCATAGAAACTGTTTATTACATTTTGGGGCACATCAGTATCATCATCATTATCATTCTTATAATTATATTACAGTTAAAGAATTAAGCAAGTATCACCAAAAATATAAAGAAGGCTACCAAGATCAAAAACTGAAAAAAGTAGGCAGATGTGTAAAAATGATCTTGTATCTAATGTGAAACAACTGGAAAATCAATTCATGCCTTTAAAACTTTAGAATTGCTATATTCATGGAGAGACTAAACAAGTCAGATAAGTTTATAATTCCTGATATTATATAATACATAACTTCACTGATCACAAATTTTATTTAACATTTTAATATTATTCCTAATGTTTTCAAAAGAGGCTGGGTCATGATATATACTACAACCTAGTCATTAAGAGTCTGATCTTTGGATTTAAATAGTTTAATCTGACTATGCCACTAGCCAGTTGTATAATCCCTCAGTCTCAGTTTTCTTATGTATAAAATGGGGAACATACTAGTTAGTACCTATCTCATAGGAATTATATCATAAACAATTAACTCATGAACTTAGTGGCTTTGGACACATTACTTAACCTATCTGTGCTCCCAATTATCTTGCCTGTACAGTCAGTTACAATAATAGTAATGATTTCAATCACTTCCAGATTGAAAAAACTAATGTATTCAAAAAGACAGAAGAGTAAATGGTACATATTATTAAGGGAACAGTAAATGAACTTACTGTTGAGAGAACTATTAGTGTGAATGAAAGTGAAAGTGAAGTCGCTCAGTCTTGTCTGACTCTTTACGACACCCCCCGATTGTAGCCCACGGAATTTTCCAGACGAGAGTACTGGAGTGGGTTGCCATTTCCTTCTCCAGGGGATCTTCCGGAGCCAGGGATCAAAGCCGCGTCTCCGGCATTGCAGGCAGAGGCCCTACCTCTGTGCTACCAGGGAAGCCCTATTAACGTGAATAGCAGCAGCAAAAGCAGCAGCAGCAGTGGTAGTCGTAGTAATCACAGTGGAGGAAAAAGAATAAAAAATAATGAATACAGCCCACCAACAGTCCTCTTGAACTGAATTTTATACTGAAAAACAAAGTTTTTCTGTTAAATAACAGACTGCATTAAATCAACCTTCCCTCTCACTTTTTTGTGCCAAAACATGGATCCTATTTAATAATAAAAAGCTTTGCTAAAACACAAAATAAAAATTATACAAATTTATTTTATAATGGTTATTATTTAAGATATACCAATATTCTATCATGAACTATAAAAGATACTCGTTATTTTAAATAAAGCCATACTGTAAATGAAATTAATTTCCTTCCACTTTCTTCTGAGGCACAGAATCTGAATAGCACAACTAAGGAAAATGAGTAATATGGCTGAAATACATTTCAGCATGATACAAATGAAGTATGTTTAAGTACAGAAATGATTTAAAGCAAATTATAAACAGGAAAGAATATTAGAGAGTGAAAACTAAGGAAAACATAGTTCCCATTCATGAGATGGAATTAGAAAACTGACTATAAGGAAAATTATAATTCATATCATTTATTATACAGAGAAAATCAGCATACCTTTGGCAGGATTTGCATCATATCCATATGAAGTTTTGTTTAAAACATGATGATCACCAGAAGAGGGTATTATCCTTGAATCTGAAATAGGATGGATCCCTTTCACACGTTCAGCTACTGCTTTATGGTGCTCATAAAATCCAAATTTCCTTGGGGAGCTTGTTGCCAACATTGTTTCACCATTTTGTATTACCACATGCTCTTCTCTTGTATCAGTTGAGAGGTGAGTCTCTGAGTTACTCCCATTCATAACAGGTAGTTCAGTGATTTGCAATAACACTTCCTTCTGATTAGCAGCAGAGGTTTCCGGGAAAGAACTAGATTCAGTGCTACATCGACCTTCTGATCTGTATTTCCCAGGAGACACAATTGCACAGGGAACGGTTCCCCTAAGGTCTCTTGTGGTCTTTGTAACAGCAGCAGGATTGGGAGAAATCTGAGAGGTAGAATCATTGTGGCCAAGGTTGTCACAGTGGGATGCCATACTTCCACTTTTAGGAAATGCATCCGCTTCAGACACAGAATCTTCAGTCAAGGCTAAGAACTCTGAAGGTGTCTGAGCTGTAGTAAGATCAGCAGAAAGCAATGGAGACTGTAAAGAGCTACCTGCCCGTTCTGTTACATCCATAGAACAAGATGGAGAACCTCTTACTAATACAGGTTCCCGTTCTTGGTACTGTGTAATTTCCAATGAGAATTCAGATTGTTGTACCAGTGAAATAGATTGGCTCTGTGGAACTGGCTTAGAAAATTTGTAGTGAGATGAGAAAGATTTAGTAAGGAGCTTCTTTGTTGACTGCTTAACAGAACGGCGAGTTTGTTCTTCTGTGAACCCAGAATCATCCCCCTCACTTTTCCCAGAACTTAGGCAATTTATGAAGACATTCTTATTAGTCGAGTGTTCCTTTTCCCTTTCAAAATCCTCTGTCAAAGATCTTGTTATCTTCTTATTTCGGGAAGTGCTAAAACCAACAGAATGTCTTCCCCTGGCTTTAGTATGTTCTTCCAAACTCAGTTTTTGCATACTGCTCTGACCAGGTTGAGCACCATTTGAAATACCAAGGTTCTGGTTGGTAGGTTCTTGCTTAGGTTCACTCCCCTTCTTATGATGAAAGCTGATGGATGGAGTACGGAAGAGGCTTCTGCGTTTACCTGTACTACCTGAGCTTGAGTTAGTGCTGGAAGGAGAGGAGCTGTGGACACCGACCGTATTACTGGAGGAGGGTGAAGAAGGAAGGGAATCGTGTTTTCTGCTAATACTCCTTCTGAAAATTGGCAACCGGGAGACCAGAGTAGATCGTCTTGATCCAGAGTCCCCCATTGGGACTCCAAGGCTTGTGCTGCGATAGCTAACTTAGTAACCTGAGAAAAGTTAAAACAAACAGAATAAATTAATTCAATTATAAATATGACATTTTAAAACAAAATATTGTTTTCTCATTCATGACACAAAATTGGTGCTATACTAAAATAACAAATATTACAATTCTGATACTTAAGGAATTCTCTGAATCTCTATGCAGCAAAATATCCAGTAATTTGTAGGGGAATTTTATACTGGTGCAAAAACTTCAAGATGACCAAGAATAATTAAAGTCTATGCAAAAGAGGACTGTATCAGAAGACCTAAGAACATTATTCAAGAACCAGCCTCATTACTCACACTGGTTCTGTGATTTGGTAAATTGTTTATTCTTAACTTTTTATGTTTCTTTATTTAGATTTAGTAGGCATGTGACAGGCATGATCACTGTCTTCTGAGTAAAATCCCCCACCACTGCCTGTTGGCCAGCACCAGATGAACCACAGGACTCAACAAGTAACTGACCCAAGCTTAACAGAATCACAGACCAGACTAAAGCATGACCTGATCCTAGAATCTCCACTCAAAGAAAAACCAACTGAGACATAGTCTTCCTCTTGGAGTTTGATTTAGGGAGTTTAGAGATAATCAGTCCACTGGCAGAGGAAAGTAAACCACATCATAAAGGATCTAGAGAAGAGTTATACACAAGATAAAGTTATGAGGAAACCACAGTTATGAGTTAAAGAAAAGATGAATTTTTGAAAGTTAATTCAACTGGTAATGCTGAGTGAGCCTACATGCAGAGAAAAGTAAAACACAGAAAATGGATAAACAAGATTAATGTCAGAGTACCAATGATGAAAACAAAAAAGAAGAGGAAGGAAAGGTGGCCGCTGCAGTTTATTAACTGTCATGCACCAAGTACTTGAAATAGATTATCTTTTTTTAATGCTTATAACTACAGAAGTAGCTCTTACTCTGGTCAATTTACAGCTGAAAGGTAAATTGCCTACATCACTCAGCTGATGAGTAGTAAAGCAGGACTAGAAAGCAAAGCTGGATCTAACCACAGGGTCAGTTCATAATCAGCATGATATGCACTGCTTTCATAAAAGTAAAAAGCCAAGAGCTTCCGCTGCAGAAGGCCTGTACGTCCCTACTTCAGAAATTCCTAGTTGGATGGCAGATCTTTCTCTGACAGTGACTACTATTTTTCTTTCCCTTTCATAATGTGACTTTATGTGGTTTCTATTTTGTTTTGTTTTTATGTGATTCTAAATTTCAGTTAATTCCTTAACCATAAAGTGCACACATTATGTGCTTTGTCAATTTGAATCATATTGTTTCACTTTGCTGTTTATTGCAACCAAAACTAACAAGAATAAATACTACATAAAATGACAAGCCCTCCACTTTATCATCCTTACAGATACGAAACTGACCAAGCATACACTTTCATGGCCTTGAAGAAGTGCATGAAAAAAACAGAAAATATGTTCTCTGTCAGATATGCATTCTTAAATACTTGATATCTTGTTCTAAATGATATAAAATCAATTTGCCCTCCATGATTTTTATCGGATGGTCTTTAACTGCACTCACTAAATGTGAATTTAACTCAAACTATGTGAGAACTGCTTCTAAAACATTTAAGTATTCTTGCAAGGCTTTGGCTGAAGAAAGCTTAAAATACAAAGACATTTTCATTTGCAAGGTCTTCAACAAATTAAAACTATCTCATTGTCCTCTCAGCTTATATATTCCGAAATGGATGCAAAAAATACAATTTTTTTACATTTTCACTGTTAATAATGCTGTAATGAATATCATTCTCAGCTGTGTTTCTTTTATTTATACGCAAGATTTATTTCCATTCAATGCCCAGTGAAAACTTTGCTCTAATTAGAGCATTATCAACCATAATGATTTGCAGCTGGTGGTGAACCTAGGGATTTCAATGCTTTAGTGTCAAGATATTTACCATTATGTTTCAAATATCTTCAGAATTCATATATATATAAATGTTTCTAAATCTTTTTTCAGTAATTCTTGCAGTTCTATCAGCAATTAAAAATAAAAGAGTGAATAAATCCCATATCTCTTAGGCAAGTATTCAAATGATTTATTTAATAATGAAAAACTTTCAGAAAAAAAGAATTACAACAAATACACCTCTCTTTTTAAATTCTTAATGAAAATAACCAGACTTAATTTCTTTAAGTAAAAACATCATAGACATATAGAGATATTTATACATTGAATGGGATGACATGGAGTAGATATAAAATATATTAGAGATAAAAATCCCTTATGTTTCACTTTATCTGCTGACAGTCACTTAAATGAAGTTCTTCATTTCAGCTAAATTGGAGAAAGACAAAACTATCTGTAAGGTTGGGATTATCCATACTCTTTAGAAAGACTCTTTAAAGTCTGGATGCTATCTATGTCTCCAGATTCATTATTACCCTCCTCATATTTCATTCTCCAACTGCACTGATTATCACTTGCCATTTTCTGTTCACTTTCACCATCAAGACATTAGCAGATGTGGGTCCATCTACTTCCAATGTCGGTTGAGTAACTCTGATAGTAAAATTTCTATTTCTACAACATGGTCCCTCCCAGAATGTTGTCTCTGATCCCCACCTTGTGCTGTCTTTCATTTTGGACTTAGTACTTATCCTAAATGCATCCTCAAGGTTAAACTTTCATAGAAAACATCTGCTTATTTATCTGACTTTACTATTTTACCTTAGGTTTCTTAATGGCAAAGTCCACTTCTGCTCCGAGACCCCACCTAATACACAATCAATGCCTACAGAGTAAATGGATGTCAAACAGTGAAATTTTAACTTGAACACATCAGTATCTCAAACATAAACAAGCATATTTTCTCTCTCACTACCAAAAATAAATGCTACAATTTGAGTTTAATTATGTTGAATTCCAACTTTCAGAGTCATGAATTAATTTGAAAGCCTTTCAAACTGTAAAATCAATGATCTACATTTTGCTTACATTTGAAGATAATGCTAACAAGCTGAATAACACATCATCAAATCAAGTCTGACTTTTCATGAAAGATAAATAACAACAAAGACAAACGCATGGTAATTTTATTTTTTACTATAAATTTACTACAACTATAATTACTTTAATTCTTTAGCAAATCTTGCATATATTTTCGATGTTTTTATAAATTTCCAAATCAGACAAAATGTATTTTCTCAATTCTCATCTAATTTGTCTTAGCTTAGAAGTCATAGTCACTTTGATCATAACAGGTTTAAAAAATATATAGGTTGAATTAGACCTGCTCATTGTCCAAGGACCTTTATTATCATAAACATTTTCTTTGAAAATACAAATTCTTCATGAAAGATTATCTTCTAAATATACTTCTAAAGCTGTCTAAATAAACAAGGTACCCTGATGTATAGAAACACCACCTCCAAAAATGCAGACTGACTATATTAAAAGTGGTATGAAACTCAGTTCTACCTCCACTGAAGAAATAATATCCTTTGTTCTTGAGCACCACAATTTAGCAAAAAGCTCTCAGAAAGTACTTTATTCAGTGATCTCTACAACCTTAGCAAATACTATTACTATCCTTAATAGAACACAATTTACATGGTTGATCTATTCAAAATAAATGAGCTAAATTTCTTATATGGCATGGTTGAGAAGAAAGTGAATTCCATTTCAAGAGGTTAAATAAATCATTAATATGTTACCTATTTAAAATTAGAGTTAAAGCAAAATACATTAAAAAAATAAGATATGCTGAAAAATTATACTTTTCTTCCATAATTCCAAAGGCATTAACCAAAGACATAAAATAACCTTGTAAGTTTTCACAGCTATCACCTTGGAACCTGGGTGCCATACGCACAAACAGGTATGCCTATCTGTACAAGTAAAAGAAATAGCTTCATCTTTTTTTTTCCTGTAATTTTCTATTTTCCTAGAATTTAGACAGTCCTAATATTATTCAACTATGAGCCAATGATGATGAAGGGACCCAAAGTCCACATCTGAGATAATATTGAGTATCCTTTTCCTCTCTGCCAAACCAGTAGTATATTACTGCAAAAACAAGACTACACAAACAAAGAACCTTTTATACAGACGTGTGATCAGCATAACAAAGTGGGTTTCTAGTCCAAAGTCTGCCACTTACTAGTAGTGAGAACTAGAACACAGATAATAATGATTGTACAGTGATTCGTCTTCAAGGATGGAAGGTGTAACAACAGAAAACCACATAACACTCTGCTTGGTACAGAGTAAATTTGGACTTTCTTTTTTTAATGAAATGCATCGAAGCAAGTGGTACCTAGTAGTACAGCACACAGAGTAATTATGAAAATGAGCTACTTATCAAAATCTACCCCAATTACTCAATTTAAAAAACCATCTAAAAATCCAGGAGGAGGTGTATAAATTGAGGTCAATATTCTTACCCCTTGTGATACACCTTCCTAAAGTATACATTTTTATTACAATTTAAAAATAAAACCAATATTTGAAATGTGTGTGGGGAATGTTATATAAGTTAAGTACGATCCCAGCTCTATCTTTTCTCAAAAAGGATATCAGAAAATAACCAGGTAGAGCCTAAATGACCACACTGAAAAGAAATCAATGATACATGGTGAAAATGGAAAAAAAGAATATTCACAGAAGTCAAATACTCACTAGGCAAAAACTTTCAACATTAAGAAAACAATGACAGAAAACAAATCATACATAAATATATCAAAGGACACATCAATTTTCACCAAAATTAAATACATAATAGCTGGAATAAATGTCCAAGTCAATCTTATCTAATGATGTTATTTTGGTGCACATTTAAATGAGGCCTGATAGGTGTTATGGCTTAGCTGGGAAGGCCTCCAGCTCAGATTTTATTGCAAAATTCATGCAATTTACATCTCAATCTCTTTTTTCCTTAATTGAAGTAGAGTTGATTTGCAATATTGTGTTAGTTTCGGTGTACAGCAAAGTAACGCAAAGAAACTCACACTTATGTATACATTATTACAAG